TTGGTGCAGAAGCCCTGGAGAGGTAGGTGTCCATCCCCTTCGTCATCCCTTCTCCTGCCTGCTCCCGACTTCCTCCCATCTGCCCCCATCCTCTCCCCACCCACAACTGTCCCTGTCTCACCTGTCCCTGCCCCCCTCTGTCCCCCAGGATGTTCTGCGCCTTCCCCCAGACCAAGACCTACTTCCCCCACTTCGACCTGCAACACGGCTCTGCTCAGGTCAAGGCGCACGGCAAGAAGGTGGCCGCTGCACTGGTCGAGGCTGCCAACCACATCGATGACATCGCGGGTGCCCTCGCCAAGCTCAGTGACCTCCACGCCCAAAAACTCCGCGTGGACCCTGTCAACTTCAAAGTGAGCATCTGGGAAGGGGTGACCAGTCTGGCTCCCCTCCTGCACCCCCCCTGGCCACCCCCCTGCCTCACCCCCTTGCTCACCATCTCCTTTTGCCTTTCAGTTTCTGGGCCATTGCTTCCTGGTGGTGGTGGCTGCCCACCACCCTGCTGCCCTGACCCCGGAGGTCCACGCTTCCCTGGACAAGTTCCTGTGTGCCGTGGGCAACGTGCTGACTGCCAAGTACCGTTAAGATGGCACCACGGCTAGAGCTGGACCCAACCCACTGCTAGCCCTCTGACAACAAGCAGCCAAATGATCTGAAATAAAATCTGTTGCATTTGTGCTCCAGCCTTGGTGTCCTGCTCTGGTTGCTGCCTGTGGGGAGGGAGTGGGAGGGATGTGCTCCAGGTGTCTGAACTGGGGGTCTCCCCTGCTAGGTGGGCATGTGAAAGAAATAGACTCTGCTCTTGCTGTCTCTGAGAGAAGGCAGTGTTTGGGTCGTGGTCCCTGCAGGCAGACGCTGCTCTGCCAGCTGTGGGGCTCTGGGAGCAGGCAGGGCGTTCTCAGGCACCGGTGGAGAAGAAAGAGACTAGTGAAGAGTGGCCAGAGTCTGGCCCTTAGGTGCTCCCTGCAGCCCCAGCCTGTCCTGGCCTCCCCACCAGAGCACCACTGGGATCCCCTCTTGCCCCACCAGTCCCATGCACCTCTTGCCTGTGTTCAGGCCAAATTGTGAGAGATCATCTCCTAGAAGTGCCTGTGGGAGACAGTGGGGTAGAGGGGCTCCTGGCGCCTGCGATCCTCTGCGTGGCAGCACAGCGAGGACACCCTGAGGACCACCACAATCAAGGGCATTTTTCTGTGCATCCCCAGCACACAGGGCTATGTGGCATCATAGGACTTCTTCTGTTTCCATTTAATGCTACATTGCTGGGGTGTCACTTTGGAGGAGTCCTTGGGGGCTGGCAGGCTGGGGGAGACAGCAGGCATGGGGGACTGCAAAGGGAACAGATGGGGCTCAGCCCCAGATCCTGCTCTTTGGGCCCTGAACTGCATCAGGGTAGGGGGTGTCAGGGCAGGAAAGCAAGCACAGGCAGCAAAGCGGCGCTGGGTGCAGCAGTACTGGGGTCTGCGCAGCCCCCAGCCCTTATCACAGCCTGCAGCAGGGTGGCCGTGACTGGGGGTGGCTGCAGGCAGCTGATAAAGGAGAGCATGGGCTCTCCTCCAGCCGTGGGTGTGGTGGGAGATAGGGCAGCAGATAATTGCTGGGGGGATACAACCTGCCAGGTGCTGAGTAAGGCTGTCCTGTCCCTGCCAGGACTGGGAGGTCCTCGGTGCTGGGGTGAAGGTTTGAGAAAGCCCCGCCTGGGGTGGCTGGCATAGCCACAGCATGGAGACAAGCCAAGGTTGCCATGGGCCCCTTTGCTCCCTGGCACTTGCAAGGATGGACACTTGCCCTAGCCCCACGGCCTCCAGTCACCATCAGTGAATTCACCAGAGGCAGGAGACCCCAAATGACTCTGGAGAGAGAGGGAGGCCCTCCAGCCCCCAGGGTTTCTCCTGCAGAACACCACAGGCATCACAACCACAGCTGAGCATGGTGAGGAGCGGAAGAGTAAGCTGGTCAGGGCATCACTGACCAATCTGGTCTACCTTTGCATGGAGCAGGGTGTTGGAAAACGTTGCACCCTCCCAGCCGACACCACCCAGACATAGCTGTGGGCACCACTCTGCTCTGCTCTGACCGGGGAGCCCATGGCAGGGGGCAGCCAGGGCACACAGGTGTGTAAGGCGGTGCGGACTGGTGTGTAAAGCACTGCGAAGAGCCAGCATCAAATCCAGCACAGACTTGGGCTTCTCCAAACTCAGCCAAAAAGGACCCTCGTGGTGCAGAGCGTGGTGTGTGTGTAAGAGGCAGGGTGTGAGAGCCATGCAGGGGACGGTATGTACATGGAGGGGAAGGGGCTGGCAGTTGTCCCCACTGCCTCTGCCAAGCTTTTGCTTCCAACCGCTCCCATGCCGGGTTGTGTCCTCAGGCAGGACATGGCATGTGGCAGTGGGCAGTGTCCTGGCTCTGAGGTGCTTTCCCAGGGCTCTGCCTAGCCAAAGAACCCCTGAGCTCAGAAGAGCAGGGATGAATTTTGTCCCAGGCATTTGTCGCTGCTGCCACAAGATGGGGACCTCAAGCTGTGGTGCTTTATCAGGGCTAGGCAGAGGGTGCAGAGGGCCAAGCCTTGGTCCTGCCTGCAGAGCTGAGCTGGAGCCTCCGGGTAGGGAGAAGCAGGCTGCCAGGATGGGCTTCCAGCCAGCCCCAGGTCCCGAGCACACTGAGGACACTGGTACCAGCTCGGAGGGGTGCAGGAGGCCCCACCACCAGCCCATTTTCAGTGCTGGGTGCCCCAGCAGCTGGGCACTCCATACTTCCTGGTTCATAGCACAAGGGCATGTGAGGCCTGGGCTCTCTTCACTGGGAATCCCTTAGTGGCCATGGCTTTGTGTGCCCCAGGGCACAGCCTGCCCCACAGGGCAGACATG